CCCAGAGGTGTGACACAGCTGGCACACCCTGCACCCCAAGGTGGCACAGACCTGGCAAAAGGAGAGAGTTCTGTCTCTCTCTCTGTGCTCTGCCGGCAGCCCCTCGGCCCCGCCAGGAAGCACTCGCACAGCCTGTCCGGACAGGTCTATTTACAGCAGGAGAGCCACAGACACGGGGCAAGGAGGTGTCCCCCAGCCAGCACGGCCAGCCGCTGGCACGGGCTGTGTCCCCCCGGTGTCACCACCGTGTCACCCCCGGCGCCAGGCGAGGGCAGGGTCACTTTGCAGGTGCTGTTTGCAGAGTTCGGGGCAGCCACAGTTCCCTGGCTGCACGGACAGCCCAGAGAGGGGTGGGGGATTGGCTGTGCCATCGTGGCCTGGCAGCAGCCCGGGGCAGCGGGCCGTGGCAGCCGGAGGGGCACAGCCCAGGCGAGTGTCCATGCCGCTCTTAGTCGTTCTCGCTCTGCAAGGGACAGAGAGGAGCGCAGGGTGAGGCGCCAGGGGCTGGGCTGGGGGTACAGCCCCTCTCCAGGGCCACCCTGCCCAGGCACAGCCCTGCCACCTCACCTCCATTTTGCTGTAGATCCAGCTGAGGAGCTTTGTCACACGTGTGTACACTCCGGGCTTGTTCTTCTGGCCACATCCTGTCCCCCAGCTCGTCACCCCGGCCACATACCAGCGGCCATCGTCCTCGCAGACCAGGGGCCCTCCGCTGTCACCCTGGCTCGGAGGAGCAGAGCAGTGAGGAGGGGAGGCAGGGGACGCCCCTCTGCGGGTACCCAAAGTCGGGCAGCGCCGCTCACCTGGCAGGCGTCCTTCCCTCCCTGCAGGTAGCCGGCGCACATCATGCGGGGGGTCAGGTAGCCCTCGTACACCTTGTCGCTGTTGCAGATCTTGTAGTCGATCAGCTTCACCTCGGCCTCCCGCAGCTTCGGGGACGTGTTATCTGCAAGGCAGGAAAAGCTGTGGGGCAGGGGAGGTCTCGGCATCCCCCGGCGCCCCCCGGGCCCTCCGCAGCGAGGGAGGAAGCGGCTGTTTCTCACAGGTCTCATTTCTGCCGAGCCTCGCGGCTGGGAGGGCGATCCCCAGAGTTATCCCTGCGGGAAAGCCCTCGGGGGCCACAGCAGGGCTGTGCTGGAGGGCAGGAGCCGCAGTCCTCCCTCACCTTCATTCTCCCTGGTCTTGCCGAAGCCGGTGATGAAGCAGGACCGGCCGGTCTGGAAGCGCTGGCCGTACATGGGCAGGCAGGCGGGGCGCACCTGGGCTGCAGGAGACGGGACGGGAGCCGGGCAAGGAGCGAGGGAGGAGTCACCGGGAGAGAAATGTCACAGGGAGGGGGCGCAGGAAAGGCTTTCCTCTCTGCACACCCCAGCACAATCTCCCCCGCCCCGTGTGGGGCTGGTGGCACAGCTGAGCCCACGGCTGCGAGTGCCAGACCCTTCCTGGCCAAGGGACGAGCAATGTGGCCACAGCAGAGTTGGATGCTCCAGCCGGCAGCAGCCCCACGCACCCCACGGTTCCCGAGCTGCCTCTCGGTCCTGTCCATCTCCCTGTGCCCCAAACGCCACCCAGCCAAGGCCAGGTGAGCTGAGACACCTCACCTGAGAGTGTCAGTGGCCTGGAGAGCTTCATGAGGGCGATGTCGTAGTCGTCATGGTCATCGCTGTAGTTGGAGTTGATGATGACCTGGGACACTGGGATGCCATCCATGGGCTGCTTCAGGTCTGACACCCCTCCGTACACCTTCCAGTCATCCAGGATCTTCATGCTGTTCCTGGCAGGGTGAGATGGGGCAGGAGGGAGTGAGAGCCGGGGTGTGGGGCCGGGCTGGGTGCCCGGGCTGGCAGCAGCACTCACATGAAGAAGCAGTGGGCGGCCGTGAGCACCCACTGAGCGTCGATGATGGTGCCGCCGCAGATGTGGATGGGCCCGTACTGCACGCTGACCTGCCAGGGCCATTTGTTCACAGAGGTCTCCTTCCCACCGATGATCCGGCCAGAAATCCTCTGCCCACAGGCTGGAGGGGAGAGCAGAGCTGGGGGAAAGGCTCGGGGGAAGGGGAGCACAGAGGGGGACACACACAGCGTCCCCACCACCCACAGGTACCACGCTTATTGCAGGGAATGCAAAGCTGGTACTTTTCTATCACCCAGAAAATTTGCTGGAAGATGTCCCATTTACCCAACCCCGCGCTGTGAAGGGGGATAAGTGCTCCCAGGCCTCTGGAAAGGGGGCCCACCCTCGGCTGTGTCCTGGCCAGCTCCTTACTTGTGCATCGCAGGGAGACGTACTTTCCCGTGAGACACTGGGAGCTGCAGGAGAGAGGAGGGAGACCCAGGCTCAGCCCCATTCCTGTGGCACCGGGGCAGGGACGGGGCATGAGGTGACCCTAGTACCTGTTGAGGCTCTGCTGGATGGTCTCTCGCTCCTCAGTCACCGTGAGGCTCTTGCCAGAGACACGCAGGGGGATGTACTCGGTCTGTGACGCACTGGGAGGGGAGAGGACAGGCAGTGAGGGTCCCCCCATCCAGGCACTGACCCCTTGGTCCCTGCATTGTGCCCAGAGCAGCGCTGGACACGCCGCCTTCCAGCGGGAAAACGCAACACTGGGGGAAACAACACAGCACAGCCCTGCACTCAGCTAGGGCAGGGGTCTGGCAGGGCCCCAGGACCCGAGCAGCACAACCCATCCTCCAGGAATTACTTCTGAAACCCCAGCTGCCGGCAGGTTTTCCTGGAGAAGGACTCGTCCCAGTCGCTGCTGCACACCGGCAGCCACTGGCTCTCTGTGCTGGAGTAGACGTGGAGCAAAGACTCCTCGGATGAGAAGCGCACTGTGGGATGGAGCAGGAGGGTCAGGGGTGCTCCCGGGGCTCCCCTCATTCCCACCCTCCCATCTCCCAGTGCCTCACCACAGCCCAGCTCGTCGCTCCTCTGGGAGCAGTCGACGACGCCATCGCAGCGCACGGCGCTGTCCCTGCAGCTCTCTGCTGGTTCCTTGTACACGATGCCCGTCTGTGACCGCCAGAACATGACTGGAAGCAGAAGAACACCACGCTGAGGCCAGGGCTGGGTGAAGGGCTGTGACCCACCTGGGTGGGTGTCTGGAGGTGTGCCAGGCACAGGAGCGTTCCCAGTCACCGGGTGTGAGTGTGAGGTGTGTTTGAGGCAAGAGTGAGGAGCTGCTGGACAGAGGACTGGCCACTCTGACACCCCCCTGTGCTGCCCAGATGCTGCAAACCCCTCTTCCTTCACCCACAGAAAATGCACTCAGCCTGTGGGTGCTTCAAGCCCACCGGCTGCAGAGTGGCAGCTGGATGTCACCAGGATTAAAGGGATTCCATCAGACCATGATTTGTCTTGGGGAGGGCAGCTGGGGGTGCTGCTGGGTTCCCTGCTGCCCACCAGAGCAAGCCCCAAATGCTGCCACCAGCCCAGGCAGCAGATCTCCTTTTCTCCTTTCCCCAGCTGCTGTCTCTCCAGCAGATGTCAGGAACACTCAGGGAATGGGAAGAGCACATTCCTGTCTCTCGGCCAGGAGTTTCCCCTCTGGCACTTCCCAGTGTGGGTATCCCCAGGCTCTGCTGACCCCCCCTCTCCTCTTAGGTCCCCTCCAGGAGCCACACCAGGCTGGGACCCCACTCACACAGCAGGATGAGGGCGACGAGCAGCACGATGAGGACGGAGACGCAGAAGATGAGCGCAAGCCGCCGCTGGCTCATGCAGGGAGATCTAAACATGGAGGATCCTGGCAGCAGGGCAGAGGCAGGGTCAGGGAGCAGCTGCCTCCTCGGGGCTCCCAGACCCTGCTGCCCACCTCTGAGCTGTGGGTGAGCAGGGCCATGCACACCCCAGCCTGCCCTGTGGTCACTGTCCTGTCCCTTACCCCCACACCCCTCGCACCCCCGTGGCTGTCTGTGACATCCCTGCCTCCCTCCATCCCTCCCCATGCTGAGAGGGACCAGGGATCGCCCTGGGCCCCGTCCTTACGTGTGCTCTCACAGGCTGAGCAGGGGCTCGGGGCCGGGCCGGACTCGGGGCTGTAGGGTTTGAAGCTGATGCCCAGGACGTTCTCTCGAGGCTGCGGAGGTCGGGTACCGAAGATGCTGCTGACCTTGGAGACATGGAGGAGGCTGGGGGCGACACTGCTGGGCGAGGCAGTGCTCTGTGGGCAGAGGGGACTGTCACCAGCAGTGACTGCTGCCCACCAGGGTCCCCCAGCTGCCACCCTGCCAGCTGTGAAGGTGAAAGCAACACAGAGATGGAGCTGAGCCCCCCTGGCATCACAACGAGCCTGTTCCCCACAGAACCATGGAGAGTCACCACCCCAGTGCCTCTCTCTGTACCAGAACCTGAGCCATATCCCACCCAGGATGGCAAAAAAACTCATTGTCACTGGGTTTTCCCCTCCAGGTGCCTGAACTTCCCAAAGCCATCACTGTGAACCGAGCAATCAGCCGGGTATTTGGCATCGTGACAGTCACGCTGTGGCCCAGTTCCACGGGGCCAGTGCCCCAATTTATGCATCTATCCTTAATTAGCCATTTGAAAAATACAGTGCAATTTCCAGCTGTCATTTAGTAATACTTAATAATCGGTGTTTTCCAAGCCCTGAAACGTCCTGCACCCTGGAATGCTGCTCTGCAGTTGTGTCACTCCTCATCCATGAATTCACAGAAGAATATGTATCTGTTTCCTCTCCTCAAAATACGCTCTTCCAAATGCTCCTTTGGTGACAGAAGCCAGAGCCTCTCATTTTCCTCCAGAGAGGAACAAATCCCAAAATAAATGCTGCTTCCTCTACTTTTTGTAGGATGGATGGGGCTTGGAGCAACCTGGTCCAGCGGAAGGTGTCCCTGCCCGTGGAAGGGGGCTGGAACTGGGTGAGCTTTCAGTCCCTTCCCATCCAAATCATTCTGGGATTCTGTCACAGCACTTCTGCAGGGGAGCTCCGGGGGGAGTGGAGCCACCACCCTGCAGGGACCACTTACCACCCAGAGATGGGCTCTGACACATCTCTCTGCGAGCCTGTCTCTGATTTTTGGCCCCGCACTGCCGGAGATCGCCTTTCCCCATGGCCATAAACCCAGAGATGGGCTCTGACATCTCTCTGCGAGCCTGTCTCTGATTTTTGGCCCCGCACTGCCGGAGATCGCCTTTCCCCATGGCCATAACCCATCCCTTTCCCCGCCCAAGCCAGCGAGGAGCGCTCGGGCTGGAGCGCAGCTCTGGAGGAGGGAGACCCGCACAGGAGCTGCAGCTGGCGTTTCTCTGCCCTGGTGTTTCCTGCCGGGAAGCAGGAGCCCTAATGAGCAGGTGGCTGAGGCTGGGGCTTTGGGAAGGCGGCTGTGCCCTGCTGGCACAGGGTGACTTCCTGCCCATCACGGCTGAGTCACGGTCCCGGCGTGGCCGCGCGTCCCGCACACGGCCCGAGGGGCGCACCTGCCCTGCCCTGCCCTGCCCTGCCCTGCCCTGCCCTGCCCGGGCCT